GGGGGGGGTAGGTGGGTTTAGCCCTGCAGAGCCAAACTGCCAGCCGGCATATCGGGAAACCACCGGCATATAGTTTGAGAAGCAGAAGGTGCTTTTTGGTACCGGTGAGTGAAGTGAGTAGCAAATATGTCGACGAAAGAAATGCCGACCACGATCTCCCCATCGAAATAGCTTGGGATTCTCCAGTTTCACGCTGCCGATGTCCTCTCCAAATCCAGTAGCTAGAAAAGAAGGGCAGGGATTCTTCATCGTTGTTCCCATTTAGTCCGGCTCTTCACCTCAACATCACGAAGCAACGGTTTCCTCAGTGCGGAGCAAAGGTTATTCACCTGACTTCCCCCATGGGGCTCCCACTATGCTGTATTCCTGGGGAGAGAACTCGGAAACCATTTTTGCCGTGAATACTGTTTTTAAATTTACAAAAAACTTTGCTATAGTAATATCGTTTGCAAGAAATGGCTCGAAAGGTGCTGTTTATAGAATTGATTGATATTTATGGAATGAATGTGATATGTGATATCTGAAGACAAGCGTCGGTATGGAGCTGGTCGAAGCAGTTACCAGAAAGCGCTCTTGTGAAGCGGTCGGATCTACTCTACGAAAGGCTACCGGTACGTTCTGTTCAGTCAAGCTTGGGCCTGCTCCTCAGTGGCTTCTTGCTTCGAGCGCCAAACGTTTCAGAGCTTCGGCTAGCCAGTTTCCTAGTGGACAGAGGCTTTTTACACAAAAACGGAAATTCCCACACTCTCCATCAAACATGTTTAATCCTTGACTGCTCTATAAGGAGCTCAAAAACATGGATGAGCATGCCTTCAGGCTTCCTCAGTGTTTCCGCTTGCCGCTCTTCTGTTGTAGATGCCATGGATTCTGCAAGTTCATCAGCTTCCATGCTTTGTTCAGAAGTTTAAGGGAGTATGGATGAAGCCGGCTTCGACCATTCTTAGTGCCTACTGGCTTCGCCTCCATTCGCGAAATTCTTACCCATTTTACCATACCTGACAATCCGCTGTTCTTGTGTAATCGACATCTACAAAGGGTGGGTGAAGCCCTGACTCAGCCCAAGCAAAAAGAACGATCGTCCAAGGAGTTCGTGACCCTACTCTGGGAGTCCATTCCAAAATGATTGCAAAACAACCGCCCCAGTTGAATGAGCTTATAAAAGTGGGCAGTGGTTACTCATGGATATGACTGATAAAAGGATTAAGGATTAGATTCTTTGGAGAACCTAGCATTCTGGGATGCGCCATGCACTGGACTTTCATTCGGAATCTTAGTCTCGTTTGAATGCTCACTTAGCTGATGCAGTAACGTGTAAATATACCTCTCCCCTCCTCTCTGCTTCCCCTTCCTTCTCCGTGCTCTAGCCGTCAGTGTTTCAAAAGGGCTGCCCCCTCCCCTCTCCGACTACATTTTCACCAAGCTCTTTTTCATATCAAGAACCTGTCGCCACTTACAATTAGTTCAGTTTGATAATCTGAAGATATCGGAAATCATGTACGTACAGAAGCTTTATGTACCACATCACCCCTACAAAGTGCGTAGAATCGATCCCACTTCAAGAAAAATGAGGGATTCTTGCCATAACGCTCTTCCAAGTCATTGAAAATGTCTGAGGCGCAATGAATAGCTTTGCGATTCGGAAGAAGGAGCCACACAAGCTGACTCAGTGCGTTGCATACCTTAACAATTTACTGCTTAAAAACTGCAACTTGCCGCTCTACCAGCAAATTTCACTTCATCAGAATTGAAATCCTTCAACTTCGGGTACTTTCAGAATGTTTCGCTGTACTCGTCACGGTTCTCATGTTCTGCGTAGAACAGGTGTGCGCTGGTTGAATGGAGCGAATCCTGGAGACAAGGTCGTCGCAAAAGATGATGTATGTAGAAGTAAAACTTTCTTCCTGAGCAATCCACTTTAAACTACTCTCTTTTGAAAAAAAATGAGTTACCATTGAATCAAACAACTATCGAACTCTGTAGGAATAAGATTCCTATGAATGGGGAGCGGCGACTACAAGATAATTCGTCGTACAAGCAACCTTGTAGGTGTTCTTGCCTTCAGTAGAGTAGCCATTCCGTACCAGTTCTGTCGCGTCACCCAAGTTTAGGCGACGAGTCCGTTCCAGAGTCTTTGTCTCACCTCAAAGACTACGTTCGAGAATACCACCCCTTCAGTCTTTATACCGCAAAAGAGAGTCCATCATAGGAAGGTATTCGAATACCTTACTGAATAGAGTGAGAACTGAATGGATCCAACCACCCAGTAGTTGGCTGATGTTGTCAGTCTTGGACAAGTGTGACGATGTCCTGAAAAGGACGTGATTAAGGGCTGGTGTGGGCTGTGCTCTGCTTGAGCTCTCATCATGCTTACTGAAGACATTGCCCATCTCATGCGGGGCATCTCAGCTTGTCCTCCTTTGCTCATAAATCTACTCGAAGACCCGTGTTACAACTGAGATGGATTCGATACCCCTATTCCAACCAGGCGAGAAAAATATGGCGGCATTGCTCATGGAAAATTCCATGGTGATAGCGTACTGGTCAGAACTTCCCTTACAGATGCGCCGATTCATGATTGACCTCATGAAGACGCAAAAAGTGAATCCATCGCATGCTGAACAACTAGCCGACGTTCTTCTCGAAGCGGATATACGTGGTCACTACAGCCATGGCCTTAATCGATTGGGTAAGTTGCTGCCTGCCTTCTTGTTCCTTGATAACTTACTAAATGGACAAAAAGAAGTGATCGTTGACTTTCTCCCACATCATGTCCACCTGATTCGAGTTGACTCTGTAGAAACAACAATTGCATGTATGCCTGAGCTCAAGGCTTCTTACAGATCAATTTTCCGATGTGAAGCCATTGATTTTTAGAGATGTATGCGAAAGACTGCATAAAAAAGGTGGTCAAAAGCGACGGGACACCAAAGATTTTAAAGGTCTTCCTCTTTATTTGGACTACTTTTTTATGTATTACGCGGGAAAACAAACTATAATTTCGTATTTTGCAGCCTGCTTGCTAAAACG